GCGTTGATGTGACACACATTTTTGCCGCACAAATTGCTTCATTTATGAAAAATGAAAAAAAAAAACAAAATATGACAATTTTGCTCCTAAATTGTTGCAGTTGCATTAAGTGTCGCAATTTAATATTTATTCAAAAAAATTTAATTTGAAATTATGTAGCACATTAATTTTTTTTTGGCACATTTTTATTATTATTAATATCTTTTTTAATATACCATATATATTATACTACTATTTTATAACTGTACAATAGTTATTATGACAATTATTTCTATGCTAGTGCGTATTGACACAATCTCTCTCAGAGTGGGTTTCATAAAAATTCTTTGCGCAGCGACATCTATGAATAAATGATGGTAAGCAATTTGGGTGCACCTGTTCTATTTTCTATTTAGAACGAATTCGCTTGATATTTTGTCATTATTTGATGATATATCACTTTATGCACTTCGCAGAATAGTACTTTTGGACTATTTAGGAGCGAATAAGTCAAACTTTTATATCTACGATATAAAATTGTAGAATATATTTTCTATTAATTTTAACTTCTATAAATAACAGACAACAAACAAACAAATCTTAAATTTTATTTTAAATTCACTTAAAGTAGCGCATAAACACATAAATTATTAAAATATGTGTACCGGGATGAATATATGTTCTATAAATTTCCAGGTATTCTATGGATTTGGCCGATTACGTAATGCTCATATGGACTGTGAATACAATGATCAAGCATTGTCGCCAGAAGACAATCGGAAAACACCAAAAGGTGTTTTTTGGGCAAACGGAAGGTCAGTGGATACTTTCCATTACACATCACATTCCATTACATTTTATTAAGACATGTTCTCTCTCAATTTACAAAAGAAATCTTGAACTTATTCTATTCACAGATAGTTGTTACAAATTCTTTTTATTCGTCTTTGTTTCTAGCAAAAAAACGTGACAGGCTAAAAGTTTTCTGTATTTCATTCGCTATTGTCCTACCTCAAGTAGTTTCCGTAGACCTGGTTTTCTCACTTTTGGGAATTCCACTCCATGACAACATGAGTCATGGTTTTCTCAATGGGTGACCTACCCATCCGTATTTATGTTGTAAAATTTGTTTCTCTATGAGTCTCTGATTAGTACGATGCTAAAGATCTTAATTTGAAATTCTAGCAGGCCACCATACACCAATAATACGTTGTAGGATCATATTAATATAAGTTGGAGTTTTATATATATATATATGTACGATTATATATATATATATATATATATATATATTTGACGAAGTTAACTAACAATTAATATAGTCTATATTTTTCTTTGTATATATGTATGTGTATAAATATACATATATATGCGTAATTACATATTTATACTTCTGTTCTAAAACTATGTAGCTTCTCTAGTGCCCCAACTAAACTCTATAAATATTAAAAATATTCATTTTTATCTTAACTTTGTCACCACAAAAACTTAAATTTATTTTTTATAAGTCAAAATATCGTCTGGGCGGCAGTCATAAAATAAAACTTAAATGTAAATTGAATTTTCTATGACCACAATTGATGTCGACTCTTTCGAAATGCCTAAATTCATTTATGAAACTCAAGGCAATAAATTAATTGTAAAATATATGAAATAATAACAACAAAACTATGTAATAAAATAACTAAAAAGCACTCATTTTTATTGCATAGAAAAATTGTTTTAAATTTGAACTAAAATGTATAAAATTTGACATAAAAAAATTATTTTTCAATAATATATGTTATAGTAAGATACATAAAAAACTTTCTTTTAAATAATTTTTACTTTTATATTTATTTTAGTATTTTATTATTAAATTTGAAATAACTTTTTGTTCATCTTTGTTGTGGTACCAAAAGTTAAAGTTCAAACATATGAAATTTTTTAACTATTTGGAGAGGAAAACTTTTCTTTATGGAAATTGTAGAAATTTTCTTACAAAAAAAAATAACTCTTTTTTTATTTTTTGCATAATTTTTCAAGAATATTCATAAAATGCTTCATTGCACACAAATTTTATAGGTTCATACATACGTTAACCTGAGAAGGTTTTTTCATGTCAAACTTTTGAGAAACACTTTTGGAACTTTTTCGATGCAGGAAGTTGTCTTAATTTCCCATGGCAACATAACAGTAGAGTCACTTATCTGACGACACACAAAAATGCATCCTCCTTATTGATTTTATGGTTCTAAATAGAAAAGTGCAAAGTTTGTACAGAAAATTGGAATAAAAAATTATTGTTTTTCGATTTAAAAACTTGAAGAAAAATGTTAGTAATAAAATAAATAAAGTAATTTTTCAGATAACTAAATTTTGAATATAATTATTTATTTAATATTTAGCTTTGATACTTTTAAAAATACATTGTAAAAAAATTAAATTGAAAATAATAAAATCAGTTCTGATGATATTGATATTTACTTGAATTCATATTTATGAGCATAAATACACATTCGTACAGAAAAATATCTCAACATTTATTAACGTAATTATCTTCGTCATTAAAAATGTGTTCATTATAAATCTTCAGGCTCAAATCTCTGCCTTAATTGGAGATGATTTAATTTATTATGTAATTGTTGCAGCTCATGCCTTTATTTATTCTATTTATAATATGGTTGAAGGATTTGGATATTGATTAGTTCCTTTAATACTAGCTACCTTCCCATGAGTAAATAATATAATATTCATCACAAAGCCTCAGGATCGAATATCATTTTATAGGAAGTTTATGTTTTTGTTTACAATTTTTTATTTTATTTTATTTTATTTTGTTAATTCCGTTTTAGTATCAATATTCTAATTGATTGAACTATATTTAAAATATAACATATTGTTAAAAATTATTGCATTAAATAAAAATAATAATAATTAAACTTCCTAGCTAAATTTTGATTAGCTATATATATTTATTACAATATATATAAAAAGAGAAAACAAATTATGTTATGGGAAATTATAATTAGTTTTTTAACATTACTCATACATACAGTCAGTGCTTAACTAAAGACATGAATATGTAATAAAATAAAAAAAATCGAAACAATATCTTCGTCATCTAACAGATGTCAATATCATATTAATATTAGGATCAAATAAATTAATTTTGTAATTTTTATTGGTCATTATATGCATTAGTTAGAATTATCAGTTGAAGTTGTATAGTTTTAAATAACAGAAGTTAATTAACAAATATATATTATTAAAAAATATGTTCAAACTTAAGCTAAAAAGAAACTTTTTTGTATTAGTTTCACTCAAGTCCAAAATTTAATGTAACTGACTTAATGATAAAGAAATTAGTGTTCGATAGTATCATAGCAAAGGATCTTGAAGATTTGTTTTCCGAAGAGTAGATTTCTTTGATATGTAATAATATAAAATTGAAACATAGTAATCATATAATCACTTAAAAATAAGACTTAATTAAATAATTAAATAAGTAATTCATTTATCTACTAATTAATTATTTCTATTTGTTTTGCTTCACTTAGATTTCGTCTTAATTTTCCTTACTTTATTATTAATAATTTTTCTTGACTGTATTGTAAATACTTCAAATGCAAATTTGTTTGTAATCTTCCTTACAGTTATTGCTATCGACGTTTTTAAAACAAATCTTTCGCCCACTATGAGTTCCTGTCAAACTTGCTTTGCATATTCCACAAAATTGACATCGGAATGACGTGTCGCCTCTTATGTTGTGGTTGAATAATGAAGTTTTTGTTTACCAGTAACTCGAAATGGATGTGAAGGGATTTTGAAGTGAAAACTTTGGAATTGCATTCTTAGTTTTCTGTCAATTGGAAAATATAGAATATGCAAATGTTTTGTATGCAATTTATTTGAATGCACTGCCAAGAAAATAAAATTGAAACATTTTATAGAATATTCTTAGTAATCACACCTTTAAACTGTTTCACACCTTTAATAAAACAGGGGGAACTACAATATATGATAATAAGACTATTAATATGTACAATATAAATATAAAGTGTTTCTATTCATAAATTCATAAATTTAGAGGGCAATACCTGTACCTGTCTTTGGAATGGTCTTTATTTCAATTAGTCGTACCAATAGAAAATTGGAGTTATTATGTACTATGCGGAATAACTTTTTGTAATTTATGATTTGTATATATTTCGTAAATCAGAGTTATTTTTGTTATTTTTTGGAAACCGAAAGCAGGCAGTCGTAAGAGTTGGGAATCTGTCTCAATACATATATATTATTTTATCTTCACTATATTTATACACAAAGTAAAGTAATCAGAATATACTAAATTTTCTTTGATTTGGGTCAGGAACAGAATACTATGTCGGAAGTCACAAATTATCAACGAAATATTTAATTGGCCTTCATTTGAAATACCAAGTTAGTTCTGTTTGGATAGGAGTAGTCTTTGCCGCAGATGATTGAGAGCCTTGTTTCTTTTAAGAAACATACATACATGGCACTACATTCCATTCTGTATCTTTTAACTAGTTTACATAGCATTAATTTCCCTTTGAAGCCAGTATCCTTTTCATTTGTATTATATTCTGTTAATTTTTTTTTTAGTGCTTAGTGCTTTAGTTCTAATTTCATATTTTAACTGTGTGGGAAGCATGCTCCATAGTTTAGAAGACTTTTCAAGTGCTCAATATTTATTTTTTTAAAAAGTCGGAAGATATCATATTTACTCCAGGCTATATTTATAGATATTTACATACAAAGTAAATTCAAATATTACTTTAAAACAATTTAATATTTTTAATACGTTTGTATTCAATAAAAATATATACGTATTAAAATTAAATATGTACGAGCTTTAAAAAGCATAATGTGTATAGCTATAGTTAGTTTTATCTACTGTATTCTAAGGAAATATATGAAAAATTTAAATAATAATACTTACAATTTGTTTATATTTATATTTTAAATACATTTCCACTTTTCAAAGTATTTCAGATAAATATTTAAAAGAAACTTACCATTTATTTGGCTTAAATTGTGCCACTTCTGCATAGCGACGCCCCATTGGTACTTCTTGTGGACTTAATAGCGTATCAGAAGTAGGCAAACTTGTTAACTGTTCACCATCAGGATCGTCTTCTACAACAATTTCGACATCATCAACATCCGAACTAGTGGTGTTGCCACTTTTATCCATAGTTTCATTAACATAATTTTGTAATTTTTCACGTAAAGAATAATCATCAATACATGATGATGAATTCGATATACAATTCTTACGATCAGTTTCATCGATATCATCAGTTATATTACCATTTTCAAGATCATGATAATCTTCAATGACAACATCATCACCAGAAGAACTTGCTTCAGTTGTGCTACCATCACTTGAACGTGATACACAACTATCAACACTTGCAATCGAATTTCGATTACTTTTATTATCGTTTTTTATATTATTAATGTGTTGATTGTAGTCTTTCTTCAAATCTTCCTCCTCATCTGTACAAAGTGATGAATTGTTAGAACAAATTGAAGAATCAAGCGATTTCCCTTTGTCACTTTTTAAAATGGTTGAGGCATTAATTTTAATCTTAACCAAATTATCATCAACACAATCATTATCGATAGTTGAACTGCTCATATTGTTATCGTTGTCATGCTCCTGGTGTTGTTCGATTATATCCGCAGTCTGTGGCACAATTATGAGTGAAGTACGCTTACGCATAGTTTCATCTTTGGCATCGATATTATTTTTAAGCGTCTTATCGCATTTCGATAAAACGATAACTTCAACTTTGGAGCTATCATAGCTGTTGGTAGTGGTGGTGTTGTTGTTATTTAAACTCGTTTCAGTAGACATTTTATATATTATATTAATGCATTATTACACTTAAATATATAACTATTTTTAGCACTTTTTTTACAATATATAAATATTTTTTATTTTTACCATTACATTATAATTTTAAGATTTTAAAGTCATTTGTAATGTAATATATTGAAATTCTAGAATATATTAGAATATATTATTATATATTATTTATAATAAATACAACAAAAATTGTTTATATTGAGTAAGCATTACGATTTATCATACGTGTATTTATTTTGGCAGTTATAAAATAATTATTCTATCAACTTTGCTTTTATTTTTAATATTTAATATTACTTTTTATTTTATTCATATTATTTTATATATAAATTAACATATGCATATCATGAACCGCCCTTGTGAGAAGTTTATGGCTTTGCCAAAAATATATTATTGGCAAAATGTACAAGATATTAAGTTACCAAGTGCAGATGTTATGGTTTTATGTCAAAATTTTCCTGACTTTTTATGTGTCCTTTTTGAGCCAAAATTTGTCACTTCATCATTTGTCGATAGCAGCTGACATTTATACTTCATTTGAGGTGTAAATTTCATTTGTTTCAAATTTTGATGGGTGCTTATAAAAATCCCCGCCCTTATGTCAAGTATATAGGTATCATATATCAGCGTTGCGTGTTGGTGTGAAGTGTTCCAAAATGTTATTACCAATAAAATTATTTTATTTGTATAAATTCGTGAGTTGTTGTGATATTAAATATCATTTCTGCATATTAATATAAGGTTTCTAATGTATATATCATAAACAATATGGTAATGAGAGTGTTAAATGAATATAAATATTTCAAGTGTGATGCTTTTTATATTCGTAAATATTTGTTTTTATTTTTTTTTTCAACAATAATGTAATGTGAAAGACATTTGAAGTATTTATACAATTGAAAATTAAAACAGCAGTCCTTTAGGTTTCGCATTATCTTCCTTAAGGTATAATCTATATATAGCAGTTTATTTTATGGAATCTAGGAACTCAGACTACACCTTTTTGTAGACGACACCTGCATAATGCTTGCTAATAAAAATGTAAGCAATCTTCAAATCTTGGATGGACAAAATAATAAATCAAATATCAAATAATAAAAAATTAATCAAAATAAACTCTGCAAATATAAAAGCTGTTTTCATTACAAATCATTTTCATTGTCCAAACCAAAAACCAAAAAATACTTTATCGCTCTAATATAAAATTGAAAGATAATGTAAAATACTAAGTTTCAACTTTTGATAAAAGATTAACTTCGTTCCTGAGAATAAAGGAGTTCGACGCATCATATTGGTTCAACCATACCACATGTTGGTTTTTATATATTCTTTATCGTATAAGCTAAAATTTTTCTAATAAAATTATCAGGTCAAATTAACATGTCTGTAGTTAGACCATATTTTTCTGAATGTAGTCATGCACTGGTTTAAATAATTTTAAAAATTTCGCTAATTATAATTAACGTTTTAATTGCAAATTTCATTTACTTTCAATATCTGTAAATTTTGAAAGTAACAATTTTAGAAAAAAATAATGATTTCTTTTTTCATAACATAACATATATATTACTTATAAATAATAAAATTTTTCTAAAATATTTGCTATTAAATTGTTAAACCTGTTGAAATTCATAGTTAGGAAATTAATCTTTTTGTAATTTTGTTTAATTTTTTAATATTATTTCACTACTTTTTTTTCAATATGTATTTTCTAACAAAAATAAAATCATTTTTTGCATATTAATAACTTTCAGTTTCATAGGAAATCATAAAATCAAAGAACAGTTAAAAATAAATAAAAAAGAAAATAAATTTCATTAATTGCAAATAATTTGCAATAATTAAAAGAAAACAAAAATTAATAAATTATTTATAAATGGACGAATACTCAGACGATGGGACCATAGACATCAAAATTACTATTAAAAATTTTAATTCACAAATGGAATAAATTAAATTTTCGAAAATTATTTAAATATTAACGGTAATGTGCTATAATATGTTTATATAATTTTTAATTAATTTTGTTGACTATTTTAAATTTTTTTTTTAATCCATTACAAACATGCCCGCAGCATAATTAATTATTTATTTTTGTTGTCAAAACGTTTTTATGTGGTTTTTATTGACTAAATTTAAAAAAAATTGCAAATTACTATAAAGTTTATTTAGATATAAATAACATAAATAATGTTTAGTTATTTAGGTTTTTATTTTGTCATTTAAATAAAAACAAATTTAATTGTTGGCGTAACTTACACACCCATTATTCAGAGTTTAGAAAAGGTTCTTTTGAGCTTAGCTATTATGCAGCTGTTTTATTATTTCATAGTTATGGCCTTGTTTAAGCCATGCTAAGCTATTGATATATGCCTTACATAGTCTTGTATTCTTACTTGAATGCATAAACATGACAGGTAGGAATGGTTTTATGCCAAATAATAACAATATTTTAGTAATTTATTAAGAATTTATGCATGTTCTACGAATAAAACAATAGCCTTCAAACTTAATATGTATATTTAGTTCAAGCTTGTTTTACACTTTTAAAATACCTAATATATCACAATTGCTAGGTAGGTCCATTCTCTAATAGAGACAGGAATATTCAGTAATATGCTATCGTTTAACTTGTAGCTGTTAACCAAAATATTGTAAATAATATTGGAATATAGTAGTGTCTTTCAAAATTTATCAGTTAATATAGTGGTTATATTAAAAGTAATTAATAGTGGTTTAGTAAAAGAGATTTATTAAATTTAAAAAAAAAAATAATAAAAATTATAATATTAAATAATTAAAAATTAAAGTACAGTACGCTTCAGCAACAGATAAGGTCAACGAATCTTCAAGTTATATCATTAATAAAATTCAGATTAGGTAAATACATATATATGATTAGGTAAATTAGATTCGATTAGATAACTAAATTAGATAAATACATATATATGTATTTACCTAATCATATGTAATAAATAAATCATATGTAATAAATAAATAAATACATATATATGTATTTACCTAATCATATGTAATAAATAAATCATATATAATAAATAAATAAATACATATATATGTATTTACCTAATCATATGTTATAACATATGTTATACGTCATGTACAAAAAAATATTATACAAATTTATAAAATTTAGTTCTTCACTAAACATTGAGCCAAAATGATTTTTTTTTGTAAAAAATTTCATAAAAATAGTGAGATACTCTTTCTTGCCAACTTATCCGCTCCGCAGTTGCCTTCAGCATCTTTGTTACCAGTATTCTAGAGAAGAGAAATGTTTAACTGCACCGCGACATCTCATTGAGAGATGGATAGCAGTCATAAGAACTTTCCAATTTTCGTGAACCTTATTAGGTTCATTAATTAGGTATTAATTACGAACTAAAGATTAGTCTATAACCTTGTTATAGATAGTCTATGCTTGTGTATCCATAAGCTAACAGTCTCAATCTTGTGTAATTCTTGCAAATGCCGAATAATAATAGATTATGTGCACATATTCCAAATATGATTGAAACTGTTTTGGACCTGTGGTAAACGTTTCTCATAGTTATTTTTTAGATTAATTATAATTCAGTAGAAAAGTGCTACAGAGTTCGATACAAATGATATTGTAATGGTGCAATGTCAGCGTAAACATGATCAGAAAATTGGAGTAGGAATTGGGGTTACGGATTTATAGCACACCATCCCTTTTTCTAACGTAATCACCCATTTATCTTTATTAATGACGCGAATTGTAATATTTTTATATCATTTTATACTGTAAAACTTTATTTTTTAAATTTAATTTTGATTTTATTTATAATTTTAATATAAAATTTATTGGCAGCACAACTATTTTGTATCTGTGGCTTATCTTTGACTCTTTCAGGGCTAATTGAGTTATTCGTGTGTCTTACTTTTGGCACATAAACATAAAAACAAAAGCATAAAATGTCATAGAAAAGAATTTATTCTTATACTTGTCATACATATTTCAACTTGGAAAGACCTACAAATTCCATACTTATCAGATTTTTTGAATAAAATTTCCGTTCATTCTTGCCTTCATTATTGTAAAACAAAATAAGAGAAAGTATACCCAAAGAATTTTTTCTGTTTGTAATCTTTGCAGCTTCATTATATGTATTTATAATGTATATGAGTATGTTTATGTGTGCTTGACAGAAGTCAAAAGATTTTTATCTACTTTTATTTTATCTACTTTGGAGTGAACAATGCCGTACCCCACTGATAAGCTCACCTCATACGCCCACGCTGGGACTTTCCCCAACGAATCTAATAGCACATTCCTGCTCAACATCAACATGTACTACAAATAGCGTCACAGTATGCACTGCAAACTCGATAACTAACACCTTGAGTTCTACATCAACTCAGATATCCGTTTCGTCTACTCATGGCCTTATCTTTACTTCCAACAACTTCGGTAAGTTCAATCGCTAATATATCAAACAATATACTGAACGAAATGACTACTACATCAAATTGCGCTATGCTCTCTACACCTGTGCACAAAGAGCAGAACAGCCAAAAAACTTTCAAATTACATACTCAATCGAAGGGAAACTCAAAAGAAAACTTATTAAGCAACTCTTCAATACAAAAAATTAAACTTCCAAAAGAAAGTCAGAAAAGAACTCGTTCAAGTCCTGAAATTCGTCGTTCAAAAAATGCTGAACAAACTAAAAAACAAGCTAAATTAGATAATTACTGGCTAGACAATCCAAGCCGTTCCGTAAATAGATTTTCAGTACTAGAAACAGAAGAAGAAGAAGTTGAAGAAGTGACACAACATGCCGAAAAACAGCCCAAACCTCCACCAATATTCGTAGATAGGGTGAATAACATAAATCCTCTCATAAATCTTTTGTCCTCACAAGTAGAAAACAATTTTGAGCTAAAAGTTTTAAACAACGAAAAGGTAAAAATCCAAGCAAAAACAACTGAGTCTTATGTTACAATAGTAAAGCAACTCGAATCGAAATAAACCGAATT